AAAGACAGACACAAGACTGCGTTTACAACTCCCTTCGGCGTTTTCGAATTTACAGTTCTTCCTCAAGGTCTTAAAAATTCACCTCCGTCGTTCCAGAGAATCATGAGTCGCATCCTTGAACCATGTCATCCATATTGCATTGTTTATATTGATGATATAATTATTTTTTCAAAAACTTTCGAAGAACATCTTGTCCATCTTCAAAATGTTACTTCTCTCCTGGAACAAAATAATTTACAATTATCTCCAGATAAATGCGATATTTGAAAAACAAGAAATCGATTATCTTGGACATCGTATTACATATGAAGGAATAACACCTCTTCCAGATAAAATCAAAGCAATACTCAGTCTTCGTGAACCAAAGACTTTATCGCAAGCTAATCATTTTATCGGAGCCATCAGCTGGTATCGTAAATTTATACCCAAATTCGCTGTGGTTGCTGCTCCCATTCATGGCGTTACTAACCTTACAAAACCCAATCGTCATAAATTTAAGTGGAAACGTGAACAATCAGCGTCGTTTCGAGAAATCAAAAAACTTCTTACTGAAGAACCATTGTTTCTTAGCTTTCCTGATGATTCACAACCACTAATACTAACAACAGATTTTTCAAAACAAGGAATTAGTGGAGTCCTACAACAAGAAATAGATGGACAAATCAGAAATCTGTATTACCACTCTCAGATGTTAACCAAACATCAAAAAAATTATGATATTGTAGCAGGTGAAGCGTTAGCAATTCTTTTATCGTTTAAGCGTATGCGACCTTACATATTAGGAAGAAGAATAACGATATATACAGATCACTGTCCATTATGTGCAATGAACACCAAAACACTCAAAAATTCAATTGCAAATCGAATAGGAATTCTGTTGCACAATATTCTAACATCGAGAAAATAATACACATTCGTGGAAAAGATAACTGCCTTGCTGATTATTTATCAAGAAATCCATACAGAGAAAATGAAATAGATCAGTTAGATCCCGAATATGGTATCGGTTCACCTTTTTCTGGCTCAAGGCCTCATGAGGTCTTAATGGCTGAAAATCAAACTTCAAATTCTTTTGATTCTCAAAATATTTCCGGTTCATTAGCTCAAACGGGGTTGGTGACTGCAGTAGAGACTGGAGCTCAAACAAGACAACAGCAGCCTCCTCCGCCAATTACCATTGATGGTCAAGATTCGTCTTCTGACATCGATGCATCTGACAAAGATCAGAAGTCACCTCGATTTACAAGAAATTTCTTTGATATCAGAAAAGTAAAAGCAGAGCAAGAGAGAGACACAGAAATTTTGTCGAAAAGTAAAGAAGTTCAACAGAATCCAAATCATCAATATTTTACTTTAAAAGATGGTGTTTTATATAGGATAATATCAAGAAAAATCGTACAAAATTTAAACTTCCCTATATCCCATCTTCTATGATTCTATCACTTCTTGAATCTTTTCATGATGACCCACTTCGTGGAGCACATTTTGCTATTGAACGCACTTACCAGAAATTGAAGAACTCATATTGGTTTCCCAGAATGAAATCCATCGTTGAAGATTACGTGAAGTCTTGCACTCAGTGTCAGCAATTTAATATTTCTCGTCAGAAAAAGCCTGGTAAATTACATCCAATTCCACCGCCATCTGGACCGT